TATATATATATCATAAAAGTTTCAACGATTTATATATAACAAAGAAAAAGATAACGTACCAATTTACTGATGTGTGATATGTTTACTTCTTAGTTGATTATCTTCCTCTTGTCACAAAAATTGTAATCTGTAGAAAGAAATTCTTATATATCTTGTTTATCGTATTTTTTCTTTCGTATAATCCAACTCTTGTGAATAATTATTAACGTATGTTGATGATGAACGAGAAAAAGGAAATTTGTAAAATCAGAACAGCAGTTTTCTTAAAGTATCAGGTACGTTGCCGCGTTGACAATGAAATCTAAGGAAATTCAATAAAAAAATCGATAAAGTATTATTTTAATCAAACTATTATATATATAACAAAGAAATCAAATATTTTGAATAAGTAATAATACGTACGAAAAGAAATAAGACTTCCTTAGTACAGTTAATATCATCAACAACACTAGGAACAAAGCTTTTATGCACTCCGGGATGGAAGGAGAGAAAGAGAGAGATAGTGAGAGGAAGACAGAGAGAGAGAGAGAGAGAAAGAGACAAAGAAGGAGACAGAGAGAGAGAAAGAGAGAATGAGAAGGAGAAGAAGATAGAAAGAGAAAGAGAGACGTAGCGGAGGACAAGGAGAAGGTGAGAGGAAAAGGAGGGATGGCAAGTTCAAACACAGCCATTAGTTTACGTGGTGCTTGCGTTGTCCACTAGCAGCGCTGGTATCGCTGTTAAAGCAATATGAATATTTTTCCATGACCTGATTTTTATTAACATAATTTTCCAAAGGAAATCACATTTTCTTTAGATTTTTTCTTAAATAATTTTGAAAATAATTTTAAATATAAACCAGAAACAAAATATATTTCGTTTCCTATTTAAAATTATGAAAGAGATTTAAGAGTTGGAAAATAAAAAATATACACAATGATTCAATACGATTAATAATCTTTCTCGGTGAATCATTTGTTTATCTTCTTTTTTATTAATTTTTTTATACTTGATTAGAAAGAAGATATATATATATATATATATATATATATATTGCTTCTTGTTAAACAAGTTACAAAAAACACTTTAGATTTTGAAAAGAAAATAAAAGTTTGCATCGTGCAGGCATCGGTGATATATATTTAAGTATAATATATTGTTAGGTTTTATTATTAAATATTTTTCTTTATTTTCTTTTCATTTACATTCTTATATATTTAAATATATGCGCATGTAAATACTCTAATATCTTTGACATGTGCGAATATATAAGGCACGTATAAAAAACAGTCATCACTTTTATAAATCAGTACATTTTGTAACAATATTATTTTAGAGATCAATCTTAAAATTTGTTATTTCACTAACACATGAATATTAATAACTATAAAAATTTCATATAAAACTGCTATAAATGCACGTTATAAATGTAAAAAAAAAAATTCTTGATTAATTACTTATAAAAGAAAATATAATACTATAATTATAAACCTTCCTTGTATACAAATATAAGTTTTATAAATAATCCTGTGCGTGTAAAAAAATTAATAGCTAATTGTAAATTGAAACAGAAGTTATTAGATCAAATAAAAGTTTTTAAGACAATTATTACATGAGTTTTATACGTTTTCTAATAAAAATAATTCTCCATTACATATGTATTGCACTTATCATATTTTTATAATATTTGTAATATTGGAAGGTAATTTGTAAAATGTTTATTGTATAATAATAATTAAAAACTTATCTATCAATTATTCTAGTCATAAAAAAAAGACAATATTTCATAAAGAGAACAAATTTCTTAAATACATTATGAAATTATTCAAAGACAATTGGTCCGACATTTGATATAWATATATATATATTTTATATTATATTACAAATATATATACATATATATTATACATATACATATCATTAAATATTTGTTTAAACTTATAAAATATTAATGACATTATTTTTTTCTGTGGAATTTCCATTTCTACTATTAACACATCACGTATGGCGTTCTAAGACTAAAAAAAAATACAAGCATAGATCAATTGTCAATGAATTAACGTTCATTTGATGCTCTAGATCAAATGAATATCACACGAGTATAACGTATAATAAAATAATATTTCACATATATATACTAATAAAGTATTTATAAAAGATCTGACAATTTTAAAATATTTTACGTAACTTTCTGTCGTAGCGAAAAATAAGTAATAACGAAAACTTTTATTTTTCTCATGTAAAATGGGAGTGTATCTTGTTTTCTTTTATTTTATAATATATATAATAAAAAATTATATATATAATAAATTAAATGCAGTTGGTAATGACGTTAACGTCTTATAAGTAATAAATGCAAATCAGTAGTCTTTTTTTATAGTCTTAAATGTAAAAATTCTGTTCATATATGAATATTTATCTTATAATGTAAATTTTGCTATTATCGTTATGAATTCCTTCCAAAGTGTTGACAACTTGTTTAGCTTAGTTACAAAAATATTAAAAATAATACTATTTTTTAGAGTAGAAATATAACTTTATAGTTTTGAAAAAAAATATATTACTGCAGTTAAAGTATAACAAGTTGACCAACAATAAACTGAAGGAATTGCATTTGCAGTATAAAATGCTAAACGATAACTTTACAGTTATAAAACGTCAAATTTGTACATAATTATATAAAAACTCTATATAATTATGAAGCTATCATATGACTCATTAATGTTTTCAAACATTAACAGTAATATTCATTAATATAAAATGATATGTGTAAATGCATAATTGCACCATTTTATATAACAAATCTATATCATTGCACTATTTAACATGCAAATAATCAAACAGTTTGAAAGTACTCACAGACCCATAGATGTCGACTGTAACAAATTTACTAAAGTCTGCGGATATACATACTTTCGGAATACAGCTTGGTGTTAATTCTAGAGCACCTAATAATTCTGGTTTTTTACCATCTCTTCCTACTTTGCATTTCCAATATGAAGATAAATATTCAGTTTTATTTAACTCCTCATACTTTTCCAATATTCCGGTCGATGAATTTGATATATGAAGAGACGATACATCTATGTTATTATTGTTAAAAGTACTAGCAGAAGGTGTACTGATGCTGCGTACTAAGCCGTAACGACTTCGACGTATTTGTTGTGTACTGTGATCAGTTAATTGAACATTCCACCAAGCTAATTCATCTCCATTTAATGACAATAGGAGAGGAGCTTCAGTGGTAACTGGTGCCCAATTTAATTGGGTAATTGCACTAGTATGAAAATAGAGCGTTCGCAAAACTCTTTGTTCTTCTATGTCAATTATCTAAAATAATACAAATTTATATAATTTTGTGTAAAGATATTGTTTCGCAAAGAATATGTTTTATATAGGTATATTAATAATTATTACTTACTGCAATACTTCCTGTTTTGAACCCAATCGCCAAATATTTTTGATCTTGCGAAATATCACAATATGTTGGTTTTTCTTTAAACGATTGATTATAATATAATTCTATTACTATGCGCCGTGGTGTTACAGTATCGTCTTCTTGCAGATTATATAAAAATAAATCTTGATTATTATTCAACAAAGCCAAAAATTGTCTTCTATGGCTGAAGCAACTGAAATAGATGTTTACAATCGTACTATCAACCATTGCTTTACTTATTATTGTCCATTTTGTACCACTGATATTGTAAAGAATTATCACACCATTTTGCGCTACTGTTATGACATATTCGTTATGTACATCATGAATTGAAATAATGGGTCCTGTATTGTCTATCAAATATGATATTTTATTATTCTTCCACACCTATTAATAAAAAAGAAAAACTATTTAATAGTGAAATATATAATAATAATAATGTTTCAATATATAATATGCATATATTATATTCTCTTATAATAGAATTATATTCACAAATTGTAGATATATTTAAAGTTACTTACTCTTAAAGTATCATTCGTCTCTCTGAATATGATAACTTCGTCATTTTCAATGGTTAAAAATTTAATAAACTTTCCACCTCCTCCAGTTACCTTCAATATGTTAGTAGTTGTCTTACTTTCTATATCCAATAATATAGCCATTTCATTTTTACTTTGTTTTGTTACGTAAACAAGTTTGTTACCATTAGGAGAAAGTTTTAAACTTATTATATCTCCATCAATAGAATTTAATTCTGCTATGACATTGTTCTCAGATAATACTACAATTGAATTTACATTTGTCGTTTTTGCAATTAGATCTTCTTCTCCTAATGGTTTTACAAGTGCGTCAAACAGAAGATTTCTAAATGAAATAACGAATTAATAAATGATTAGTTACTGTTTCATTAATTTAATAAGATAATAAATAATATAAGTTGAAAATATATGTGTGTGTGTGTGTGTTTGTGTAAAAAAATAATGTTTCTTATACCTCACTTGAGCATCGGATGCTTCTTCTACAGGGAACTTCCATTTATGCACTAAATTATTTTCATTACCGCAAATCTAGAAAGAAAAAACTAATATATTTAAATGCATAATACAAATAATATCATAAAAAATTATATCTTGAATCTTTACAAAGATTTTTAATATAATATTCTTCCATAAAAAAATAATTTAAATTTTGATATAAAATAAAAAGTATTTCTTACATAGTGATAACCTTCTTTATTTAACCAATATGTATCTAAAGATGCAACACGGCTTTTATATACTGCAATTGGATGAAATCCACCATCTATTTTCCAAACATTTACGAGGCCTTCTGAATCCGCTAACACTAAATAAAGGCCATCATATGTTATGGAAGCACACACGTAGATTGTTTTATCGTTTTCAGCTTTTGCCTTTTTTTCATAATTACTTATGTAATCGGTAGGCGGGCAAAACCATTTTACGTGAATAGCTTTTTTTTCAGTAATTATAATCAACGAATTGTCATGTTTTGGAACGTTGTGGAAAAAAATGACTTTTTGTTTTGATAATTGTAGATTATATTGCGAATTATAACTGTATTCATTATTATCTTTTCTAAAAGTTACAAGAGTATCATTTGATAAGTCCATTGTATGTAACAGAGAGCTTTTTGTTGTAAATGTGATATATCCTAAGTGACTGTAACATATAAATAAAATTTATTTACAAAAAAATATAGAAATCGTTTAACCTACGTTAAACTAATTATTTATAAAAATATAATGTAATAATCACTTACTTATTCTTGTGTTTAACACTTGTTAAAATATTTCCATGTATATCCCAAACCTGTCAAAATATAATATAAATAAAGAAATAATTCATAAAGTTTCAGACAACATAATTATATCAATTGATGATGTACCTGAATAATTCCTTTGTCAGTGCATGCTGCAATACGTTTATCGTCATGTCCAAATGCTACATCCTTTATAGTTTCATTTTCAATTGAAAATGTTTTTAAACAGTTATGTCCATCAATTGAATAAAGACTATCCCAAAAGGCTTGCTTTTGTTTTGGACTTTGAATATTTGTATCAAATTTATTATAATAATCATTACTGTATAATTTAAAAAATTTGACAATACGATTACATAATGTTAAAAAGAATTCTCCATTTTTAGAGACTACTATTTTTTCGATTATACATTCTTTTTTACATACTTTGTATACTATTTGTTTTTTATGTTCAGAGTGCCATTGGATTACTTCACCTATTTTATTTCCAATTAAAATAACATCTGGATCATCGGTAAAACATGTTGTATACGTCTCTGTACAAACTTCTTCGCTTTCTGTTATATTATTTTGTTGCAATTTTGTATTTTGAGATAAATATAAATTGTTTATTCTTTTCTCAGCTATACTTGTTGCAGTATCTACCACATATCCAGAACGGAAGTGATTCATAGCAATTTGTATTAAATCTAAACATTTTTTTCTCTTGTGTTTCGATATATTACTAGCTTGTTCTTGAAAAAACTTTTCTAAATCGTTTACTTTATTATTACTTTCATTATCATTAGTTATTATATATTTTTTATATTTATTAAAATCAATTAATAAATCACATAAACCAGTGTGGTTTAATTTTGCTTCAAGAAAGTTGAAGTCTAAGTAGAGAGTGGGAAATTCATTGTACAATTTAGCTAATTCTAAATGATGACCAATATAGGAATAACTGTAATTATCATCTGGCAGTTTCGAAAAGTCATTGTTGCAATATTTGCGATATTTTTCAATAAACATTTTATGCATCTCCGTAAGTTTATTTATCCCTAATTTTCTTCTTAAGTGGCACAATAAGAGATCATGTACTCCATATATATAACAGTCTAAGTTAGCATTCCATTTCATGACTGCAAGGGATTTATGGCACAATTCTAACATCATTTCTTCAACTTCAAATAAATTGTGTGACCACAAAATTTCTAAAGTCTGTTATAAAAAGTAAAAATTTATTGATTATATATATATAAGACAGATTAGATATATTTATATTATATATATATAAGACAGATTAGATTTTATTTTAATCCTTTCTATACAGCTGTGTCATTCACGAGTACGCTTTCGCTATATGACATTGGGTGATTAGAATCATTGCTAATACAAAGAGAGCATCAGATATCTGGTAACTATGGTCACTGGCAATATTGAAAGGATTAATAATATTGTTGTAAAAAAATGATTGTTACCTTCGATGTTATATTCACATCTTCGCTAAATATTGCTAACTGTTCATAACATGTTTTCAAATGTGGTGGTAAACGTTCGATAGACATATTAAATACAGTTTCTTGTTTTTCCAAGAATTTGTTGATTATTCTTAAAAAATATGATTTTTAATAAAACATTATTCTTTTTAGAATTGTTTATTATATTTTTGATTTAATTTCTCATTATTATTCACAATTATTTTCTAATACAAATACTTACGTATTTTTCCTATCTTTGTTTTGTATGCATTTTAGATAATATTGCCATCTATCATTACGTTTGTTCATATCATGTTTAAATTCTTCAAAATTAGCTGAAAACATGGCTATAAGTAATGGCATACCCTTGCATTCTTTATGAATTAATTTAGCTTCAAAAGGAAGTTGATCTACACTTGTATCTAATACTTTAGCAAATAAACCTAAAGTTTCTGCTTCTGTAAAGCCATCATCCATCTAGTAATAAATATGAAAGAAAATCTTATTAAAAATGTATCAATATGTGTGTAATATAATAATAATGTTTCAGTATAATATACAATTTGCATACAATATAATATTAAATTACCTTTATCACAATTCCTCTCCTTCCATCCAAAACATCTAAATCAGTAGTTATTACAAGAGTTTTGCATTTAAAATCAAATGCTTCTATAAAACTTTTATCATAAACATCTTCCAATACCAATAGAGCATTACGATTTTCTTTTTTACTAAAATGATTTAATAAAAATATTTTAAACAGTTCACTATTTAATGACTCCGATAACAACTCTTTATTCGTAATACGATAATAAAGTCCACTTAATTGTTTTGTTATTTCTTCCTCAATAAACTTCTCGTATGAATATTTATCATCGTATTTATATTTGCATCTTTTATCGTATCCAAATTTAAGCCAGTAAATTTTATTCTACAAAAAAGAAAATTATTTTTCTATTAAAATATATTCACAATTTTATTTTTTTTTTTATATAATCAAATTAAACTACAAATTAAAAAGTTTTATTTACATGAAATAACTCCTCTGCCAATTTAGTGTTATTTAAAGTGCTAGCAGTCAGACAAGATCTACCAAATCCTTTCATTCCATGTAAAGTTAGATATCCGTCTGGGTTTAATTTATTTAATGCTTCTACCAACTGTTTAATCTATATTAAAAAACAATTATGAAATAAATACTTATTTAATATATAAAAATTGTTTATTATTTATACTATATAGTAGAATATTTTTTCGATAACTTACATCAATGTTTCCAAAAAGTGTACCGATTAAAATTATATGAATTAGTAATGATAAAAAAATATTTATAAAGATGTGTATAGAAATAATATAATAAATAAGAAATATTTTGATAAATAATTTCTTTATATATACCTTATCATCTCTAATAATTGTCAACGGTGATGTGGGTGGAATAATTAGAGATTCAGCTGAATTTCTACCAGTTTTTTTTAATTCTAAATCATCCATGTCAGCGCTGAGCCATCCGTAATGATGTCTTAAGGATTCACGAAAGGCATTGAATGCATTTACTCCTCGACTTAAAGATAAATGGTGTTATGTTAAGATAACAAAAAAAAATAAAAATTAAACAAAGAATAAAATAAAATAAAATAAAATAATTTAAATATCAATGTAAAACTTACTTTGGAAGAATTTCTAATAAAAGTTCAGCCTTATCTCTAAGACTTATACCAGTTTCAATATATTTAACGTCTTCTTGTTTTAAAATATATTTAGCTGATAATACAGGTAATACTCCGTTACGTACATCCATGTCAGCTAGGATTTGTTCTCTTAATTCATTCAATATATCTTGATGGAATTTTTCCATTTTGATAACTATATGTTTTCAAATATTCAATTATATAAACATATATAAATAAATATTTATATAATTAAATATATTCCTTGTAATATATTTCTCTTCAGTTTCTACAAATATATATTTAAATTAAAAAAAAAAAATAGAAATAAAATAAAGGGAACAATGAAATATATATATCGTAACAGCATATTGATAAGTAATTCATAAAAATAATGTAATATTAAAATCAATAATAGAAAAATATTTAGAACAAGTTTTGACAGACAAGAAAATCAAATAAATACTGTCAAATATTTCTAGTACATTACCCTTTGTTAGCACTTGCCTACGGCACAAAATCTTAACGAATTTATATCAGTCTTTGTTCAGCACTCTACACAACTACTTCTCCTATTGGAAGAGCACTACTGGTGATGGCAAATGAACGTTGCATACAGGAACCTGTCCAGTGTTGCCATATTTCTCTAAAGCAAAATTGCATTTGATTGGCTACAATTATCGTAAGATTCCCGCCATCCATTGTTTCCAAGAGCTTGGAAGTACACCCTTTTATCTACGTAAAGAGAAAAAATTAGATGTAAAAATATATATTTTAGATAGTAATGTGAATATGCATTGAGAATAAAATCTTTAAACATAAAATAAGGAGAAAGTTGATCGTTCACATTTAATAATTGCTGATTTCGTGATATGTGAAAAATATTTTTCATGTTTTATACGTCCCTGAGTAAGTCCCGTTAGGGTGATATCATATGGTGTGAACTGATGAAAAATACCCAAATATTTGGGCCCAACAAACTTGTTTTTATTTCATGTGACTCATTTGTAGCAATATGGCGGGAAAGAAAATATTATTTTTAATATATTTAACTCTGTAAAGAGTAGATATTATTCTAATATTCTTTTATTAAATATTATAAGATTTATATATATATATAATATTATAGGAATGTAAGTAGATTTTTCTTTCTTCTTTTTCCATCAATTTTTGTATTACGCTAATCGCATCAGATCATTAACCTTTTCAAGGACGAATTTTTTAAAGTGAAAAGAAAATAATTTACCTTTTTTTATTTGATTTTTAGGATTATTTATTTTATATAGGCAATGATTTAGCGAGCTAGAACAAATTGGAAAAACCAATGAATGCATATGACAAAGATTAATAATTTTTTCCACATAAGAAATACCTATAAACATATGCATATATGCACGTGTTCTTGAAGAGGTTATAGCGTCCTTGAAAGGGTTAAGTAAATGAAATATTTGAGAAATTATTTTATTATGCAATTACAAAAATTTATAAGTATTTGTTTTTTTTTTATGATAATATTGTATAAAATAAAAAAAATACATAAATTATTTGCATTTAAAGGAGCAAAAAAATCCTGCGATGGCCGGGAATCGAACCCGGATCAACTGCTTGGAAGGCAACTATGCTAACCATTACACCACCATCGCAGTTGTTAACTGGTTCGATTTAATAGTAAATAAGGTTTAAATGTGCTGAGAAAGTGAAGGAAGAAAAAAAAAATTCCTGCGACGGCCGGGAATCGAACCCGGATCAACTGCTTGGAAGGCAACTATGCTAACCATTACACCACCATCGCAGATGTTAAGAAGGACTTCTTTAAGTATGTTTATATGTTAATTTTAAGAGTCATATAAAATGATTAAAAATAAAAATCTTGTAGAATCTAATCGATAAAAATCTAACTTATGAAAATATATTCTTATCATTAATCTGTCAAGTTATAAACGAATGCCACATAAGTGACTGTATATTCTTATCAGCTCTTTTAATCTGTTTATTCTAGATAATTGATAAGTGTTAAGCATGAGTCAGAATTAGAGTACATATCTTATCGTATATAAAATATAATAATAAACGAAAATGTATCACATTTTTACTTATTTTAAAAAAGCACAAAAAAATATTGATTAAACCCATATAAAAATATTGTCTCGGAAACACGATTACTAACTACGTATATTTTCTATTTCACATATGCATTCTTTAATACGTGTCAACGATGATCGTTCTATCGGTGACTATATCCTTGATACAAATAAAATCGAATAGAATCGATAATTTTGTTTAATTTGCAAAGAAGAAAAAGAAGAAGAAGAAGGAGAGTTCGAAAAAGAAGAAACAAAATTCCTCGGCACTTAAACTTAACACCCAGAAATAAAATAAAAAATAAAAATTACCATATGCCAAAGAAACGTGTGTGCATGTTATTATCTCGAAGAAAAATTATCTTCACTAATAATAATAATAATAATACTAATAATAATAATAATATTTTTTCGTATTATATTTTATTAACATGATCTTTAAAAAAAATATAGTATAGTCTTTTTTACAATTACAAAATACCCAAGCACAAAAAGTTGATGGTTGTGCTATTTAAAATAAGCTGTCATCCCTAACTGATTAACATCTTTTTATTTGCTTTATTTTTGATGTATATCTTCTTCAAAAGAATAATGCAACTGTCTCGCGATATAATAATAATAAAATATAATAGAAGTTAATGCAAAGTCTGTTATCAAACAGTTATCGTATATAAAAGCAGTACTTTACTATCTAAATGTTTTAAAATTATCAGCCGTATATAAATTTAGTATGTACTGTACATACTCTTAAACTGTAACATTTCATTTAAATATGAATGACTATTAAGACGATTATTTAATTAAAACATTGAGTAAATAAGCTATACGAGTGATGTTGGTGCATTGACCTATATTCGCTACAGCCACCGCAGAGAAGTTGGCATAGAACCTGAACAGCAGAAAAAAATGAATAAGTACTTTTAATTGTACATTAATTGCATATTTAAAATCTATAATTGCACACTTTATTAATTCATTATTTAATTGGTTATTAATAATTGAACAAACGAAAACGTTTTTTCTCATTTCAAAACAAAAAAATAAAGTTTTCTATTGTTTTTTATTTTCAATCAATTGCTGACTTTTTGTTTGTCCGTTTTTCTCCGGTTTTTCTAACTCCAATATTATATCGGTTTATTTTTTTTTAATCTAGTAAGTCTTTTTCTCTGTACCTGTTCCGGAACAATAATACGACTTACCGACCAAGATCTGATGGTAAGTTACCATCAGAATTACCGACAGTAAAAAACTTATTAGAAATAAAGCAAACACTTATGGATTTTGAATGAGCAATTAGTGAGCAATTAAGAGCACTTATTCATTTCTTTCTGCGGTAGATTTTTTACTGTCGGTAATTCTGATGGTAACTTACCATCAGATTTCGGTCGGTAAGATAAAAGTAGAGCACTACTATTACCAATTTCGGCGTAGCCATGTTACTAGAATTTTAATATATTTGAAACTTTCTTATTTCCTAGTAACTTTTAATAACAAGTAATTTACACAAAGTGAATGTGTAATTAAATTCTATATACATTTAAAAACAATTAGAAAACTAATATAGATATTTAGCTTTAATTATTAATTAAAGGAGTTTACTCGTTAAGAACGATTGTCTCGGAACATTTACTGAGAAAAAGGCTTACTAGATTAAAAAAAAAAAAACCGATATAATATTGGAGCTAGAAAGATCTGTCTTTCTATAAATTTTCGTGAAAAATGATGCTCACTATCCGTATCACTACAGTAAAACTGATATACTATATATATTCATTATTTGTAGAAGCTGTACAGTATATATGTAAGATTTTTTTATTTATTATATATATATATACATATGTATATTATTTATTAATATAATAAATTCCAAAAAGAAAATATTTTATTTGGTAAGGAAGGTTTGGGTCGTATCGAACAATCGACGATTAGTTGTTGGATTTTATCCTTCGTTTGACCAGTAGCCATTGGGCGGCCATTAATTTTGGAAAGCAATGAGAACACTCATGCGGCATTGTTTCCTGCACACCAATTTAGCAGCATTATCCAGGGTGGTGGTGGGGGGCGGGGGCTGGAAGGAATAATGCACATACCAGCTTTTTAAAGCTCGCTTCGTCGAACAACAACAACAACAACAACAACTACGGTTCATCCGGAAAAATGAAAAAAGTTTCAAGGCCCCGGTATTGTCCGCAAACATTTACCACCCCCCATTCCCCCTTCGGGGTTTAACCGTTCGAATTACAACACAACGTCCAAACCAATGTTCGTTTCAGAAAATACTATAGTTCCGCCGACGCGACGAGATAAGCTTTATGATTTCCTATCATTTTCGCGCTTTCACTACTGTTTTACCCATCACAGTCTACCTTGACTTTAAATACCATGAATATAAATATTTCTCTCTCTCTCTCTCTGATTTTGATTTTGGTTTTACGCGTGAACGTAATCAACGTCATCGGTGAAAATGCGTTTCCTCGTCAACGTACGCAGGTGAGACATATATATGTATGTATGTACATATATATATAGGAATTTTCTATGGGATGATCATGGGATGGAAACACGATGAAAATTCGATTAACTTCGGGAACATCGTTCTCGCTGCTTTGAACCACCATCTACATTAACCATCGGAAACATCGTTTATTTGCTCGACTAATTTGTCGGGTGGCTTTACTATTACTACGAATAGTAGCTATCCGAGCTATAGTTTGTTCCTATTGTAACAAGATTTATGTCCATTTCGTGATACGTTCTTGTTATTCGACGATCTTTTTTCTTTCTCTATTTCTGTCTCTTTTTTCTTTGTATATATATATAATACGTATACTACATATATATAATATAACTATAATATAATTAACTTTGTATATATATATATATAATATAATTATAATATAACTAACTTTGTATATATATATATAATACGTATACTATATATATACTATATATATACTATATATATAATATAACTATAATATAACTAACTTTGTATATATATATATAGTATACGTATCAATGTGTCTTTTTATCTTTCTAATTCTTGGTATAAGAATAAATTTCGATATTCTTCTAATCATCATCATCATTATTATTATTATTATTATTAACCATTGATTAAAATTAATGATCAATCGTTATACCTTATCTTCAAATGAAATTAATTATAAGATATGAACGAAGAGAAGTATTAAAGAAAATATTCGTCATGGTTATAAATTATTTGAATCCTTTACGAGTGTATTATTCTTTAATAAAGTAATGACAGTGTGACGGTCAGCTTGTTTTCCATAATGGTTTGATAATTTTTTGTTTCAATGTATACACACATACGCGCATACGTTTATACAGATTATATTCATTCGCGAATACACTATCCAACAAACACACATATACATATATATATATATATGTTATGTAATTGTCGTACGTATTTAGATATCTAGTGGAAAAGATATTATTCCTAACACGTTCAATTACGCTGATACGCTCGTTTCTTTTGTCCCCCTTTTATTCC